CCTCACCCCTTCCCTTCGTTCTTCCCCAAGTGGCCGACGGAGCCACTTGGGGAAGAAGGGAGGAGTCCGGTGACATCGATGTCCGTGGCGTCACCGGATCGCCGACGGGACACCCGGAAGCCGGCGGAGAGGTGAGTGTTTTCATTAGCCATCAAAATAATTTTGATCGATCAAAAAGTTTAACGATTAATCGAGACATTAATCTTTAATTTCCACAGCCCTACAATTATGTATTTATTAAAACTAATAAATGTGGTTTTAAATGCAACTACTTTAAGTACCTCATCTGGATTTGGTACCATTCTGTTGTACATCCCACATACAGCAGCACTCAGAGTGAAAAAGGATGCGGCAGCACTGGGAGTCAATCGGTTGTTTTGTAGTGCACATGGCTAGAAACAATCTAAAAGGAAGAGATAGGAAGCAGTGGAATGACTCATTACTATGGTCTGCTGTACATTATCCATTCAGTCACAAGCTTGAGCCAAGGAGGCGACCTAGGTTTATTGCTTAAAGTGGCTGATAAAACTAACATACCCACACATCCTCCGCATTGATTTCTGTACTTATGTTTTTGTATCGTCATTGCAAAATACGGTTCACAGACTCTCCCTGATCGGGATACCCACCTCTAAAAACAGTCTCAACATGTCAACGGCACACACAGAGATGAATTCAATATCTCTTAGATATGTTTATTGAAAAATGTCACGGCATGTAATTAGAAGCAGAACGACATAGTGACACCTGATGAAGGGCCCCTTCGAAGTCCTGAAATGCTAGCTACAGCTTCTAATGACATGCCGTGACATTTTTCAATAAACATATCTAGCAGATATTGAATTCATCTGTGTGTGTGGTGACCTGAGACTATTCTGAGCTTTGCATGGCGCCATCCGTGTGATCACCAGAGCACCACCACCATTGGAAGTTTGCAGACCGTAAGGAGTGCGGGTGGATCTTGGAAACAGTTATCACCTCTAAAAACAGACATGCGTGGCACAGTACTTGAGTGTGCACACCACTTTGCTTCCCAGCAAGCCTGAATGGGTAAAAATAAAATGCGCTTCTATTT